TCTCTTATTGTTTATACCTTTTAATTTGAAATAAACTTAATGTTACAGAAATAATATACTTTAACTTTCTCTAATGTTAATATCTTAGTATAAGCATGTTATGTATTTGAAAAGTAAGTACAGTGCTTCTAACTCACAGACCTTACTTCTGTCTCACCCATTTTCTCAATAGTTCTTTTTTCCTGTTTCATAATCCAGTCTAGGCAACTCATATTCCTTTAGTTGTCATGTCATTTTAACTTCCCTATATGTAGTTATTCAGTCTGCTGTCTTTCATATTTTTGATATGTTCAAATAATTTGGTTATTTATTTTGTAAAATATGTTGTTTGGTATTTTCTTATGATCAGATTGAGGTTATACATTATTCAGGAAGGAACTATAGAGGTGATCTCTTCTGTATACTTAGTATCATATCTGTGTTCCATGTTGTACTATGACTGGTGATATAATGGCTTAATTTTAACTTTATTCATTTGGATAGGATTCCATAAAATTAACAGTTGCATGACATTTGGTACATGTACAGTATTGCACAAACCTCAATCCAGTTCTAAAACATTTGCCTCTCCCCAAAAGGAGATTTCTACTCTCTGTTTTTATGGATTTATCTGTGCTGAATATTTGAAATAAATAGAATAATAGTAGAAAGTTATTTTTGATTTATGCTTTTTTTCCCGTAAACATGTTTTCAAGGTTCATTCACATTTTAACAAGTATCAATATTTTAGCATGTATCAATAGTTTTTATGGCTTAAAATTTATGGCTAAATATTTCAACTATTGATGATATCTTGAGAGGTTTATATCTTTTGAGTCATGCACCTATGAACATGACTGTACATTTGTCTGTTGTCATATGGCCTTCTCTAAGATCTTAGTTGCACTATTTTTTTTCCTACTCCTCTACTGTAGTCACAGAATCCTCACCTTCAAGATCTTCACCATCTTCCAGCCTTGTTAGTCTCCTCAGACCACCACTTATTCTTCCCTTTATCTGGAAACCCTTTCCTCAGTTATCTACAGGCCTTCCCTCTCTCCATTATTTTTAAGTCTTTATTACATGCCAGCTTGTTAAAGAAGTTTTCTCTGAGTATTTGCCACAGTTCAAGATGTGATTAGGTTGAGGGATTAATGCTGGTACTATAGGAGTGGGTTGTAATGAAAGGATAAGTTTAGGCCCCATTTTTTCCTCTACCTTATTTACAGGTACACACATAACAACATAAGAAGGTACTTATCAAATACTAGTGCCATGCTCTTGGATTTCACTACTCCAAAACAGAGATAAATATATTTATATTGTGCATGAATCAACCAGTTCTTGCCATTTTGTTGCAGTAACAAAGCATGGACTAACACTGCTATAACATACAGGTACCAAAAACTATGTGTTGTCACATAATCTTCCTTCTTAGTGTCTGTGTCGAAATAATTTCTTCCCCCCTCTCTCCCTCTTTCCTCCTTCCCTCTCTTCTCTCTCCTTCCCTCCCTTCTTCCCTCCCTCTCTCTCTGTCTCTCTCTGTGTCTCTCTCTCTTTCTGTCCCTGGTCTCAGTCTCAGTCTCACTTTTTCTCTGCCTGCCTGCCTGTCTCAAGTAAGGATAATCTTTTATGTTGAGTTATCACCTCTGTAAAGACCTATTTCCTAACAAGGTCATATTCTGTGAGACTGGAACTTAGGACTTTATCATAGCTTTCATTGATAAAGTATAGAAACTTAAGGAAAAAAATAATAGGGTTTGATAGTTTGACTTTATATAGATAAAATCTAAAGGAGAATGTGAAAAAGTGAAACTAGTTTTAAGGCTATCATTGGAAAGAGTAACCATGTAGGGGAAAAGGGAAAGAGTTTTGAAACAAAGTGAAGGTAAATGGAAATGAGTTTTCCTGTAAGGATGCTGAATTTCAAATTGTGTAGTTATATAATCATGATATAGCCACAATTCAGGAAAGATTTCTAGCTGGGTAATAGCTTTGTTGGGGTAATCTTTGGATTCTCTGAAGGATACAGGAGAGGCACATAGTAAAAGGAAATTAAAGAAAAGAGAATTAAAAAGAAAGGTTACTTTGTTGAAATGGATGCCTTCATATATTATATAGGAAGAAAACTTTTAGAAGACTGTCCCTTTACTCTAAATGTCAATTGCACTAATGCTGGGTGTTGGATTTAGTTGCCAAAGTGGTCTTGCATGAACAGAAGTAGAAGTTACCAGTTCCTGACAGCTGCGAATCAGCCTCTGGGCATCTTTCTAAATTTTCAAATATAATTATACAGTAGACTTCCTTTAACAAATTCCATGTTCCAGCTATAATTATAACTGCTTTTCTTGCCTGTAGTCTGTTCTTTGTCTTACTACTCTCCTTTGTATCTCCCCCTGTTGGTTAGAATTTTCCTCTGGTCATTTGGGATCTGAAAAATTAGGAAGTCGTTTACTGTGATTTTCTTTCTTAAGCAGAGATTTACCATCATACCCATTTCCTTTTTCCAAACTGTATTCCATTAATAGAAATGAGAAATTGGAATATATTTCCAAAATACATTCCAGTAATAGAAATCAATGTGTTTAAACAGCAGGCTAATATTTTATATACATTTTTATTTTCAAATAATGTACAGACACGAATTGAGCACATTGTAAACTTTTTAAAATTGCATTATACAGGTGGAAATTTCATTGTTAGCTTTCCACATATGTTTAACACATTATAAAATTTCTATATAGTTGTTAGAAAGTGACTGTTATCACAACTTACCTAGTGACCTTATTCATCAGTTACATATCCTAAATAAAACCTTGCCGATGACCATGTTTCATACCAAGTGCATTTAAAAATTTTAAATTAAAGTTTACTGCAGAAACTGAAGCCATATGTCTTATAGCCACAGTCTTCCAATAGCTTCCAGGACTTACCATGATCATAATTTGTGAAATTTGAAACAGGAGAGGAATTTCTTGGTTTCTCATCTTTTTTTTCCCCACCTAAATATCAATTATGAAAACGAATTACTTGAAAGAATGACTTGGTGTCTTCTACAAAAGTTTTATAACTAAGATCGTAAACTCTCAAGAATATATTTTCATATCACTTAGACTATTTTCTAAGCCATTTTAATATCTCAGAAATAACTAAAACATAAATTCTTGAATATGCCAAAGAAAAACTGAATTTTTAGTGTGTAGCTCAAGTAGTTGAGGAAACTTATAGACTTGTGTAAATAATGCATTGTACATGTACTGTTCATCACTTTCTTATTAATTAATACTATACAATGTTTTTTGCAAGGCTCTGTAGAGTCTGATAACTTATTGAAGCTTATTTGAAGAGTGTGATTAGATTAAGATTTTGCTTCTGGTATTAAAATGTACTTGGAATAAAACAGTTTGGTTATTTTCAGTAGTTACAAATATAAAAAAGTAGAACTCCTCTTATGTAATAGCCAGTTGACACTCAGTGGCAGACTGATATACTTAATGAACAAATAGAAAATAAAGTGTTGATAATACAGTGTTTAAACCTTTAGACTTAAGCTTTAGAAACCCCTAGAATTAAGTCTTTTGGCATTGAATTGATAGGTCTTTCTGCTGTGAAAAAGTAACTGAATAATGATGATATATTTCATATTTGTGGGTGAACATTCTTGAAAAACAGAGTACTAGAACTCACTGTTCTAAGACATTGCTCTTTACTATTACCAGTATAATTTTATGCTCCTATGGCAAGGTTTCATGTTGAGAAATAAGATTAGACTTTTAGGGGAAGAATATTTGCTGTCTTCATTGTTCTTGTTCCTGATGAATGCTTATCCCTTAATGTGCTGTGGTATTAGCTGCCTTAAAATAGATTGTCTAAGCTGGGCACTGGTGGCTCATTGCTGTTTGAAGTTAGTCCATACAGGAAAGTCTGTGACACTCTTATCTTCAGTTAACCACAAAATAAGGCCAGAAGTGGAGCTGTGGCTCAAATGGAAGAGCACTGATGTTGAGCAAAAATGCTCAGGTATAAGTGACCTGTGTCTGCACACAGACAAAAAGTAGATTGTTGAAGTCTTTTATTTGGAAAATCTTAAGTATGCATCATGATTCATGACTTGCAATAAAAAATTGTCTACAATTAAATATAAAATAAAATACATATGCTGACAGATGTCATCAGCAATTTGCTTCTTTCAGAAGGGAACTGTTAGACATGTGATTCAGGGAATTACACACTATAGTTGATGATGAAATTCTGTTGTCGAATAAGTACCTTTATTGTGTGTTTTTAAAAACTTTCCTAAAATTTTTGTGGTTTCTGGTGTATGATATAGTTTAATATCTGAATTTGATATAGTTTAATATATCTGCTTTTGATATAGTTTATTTCTGAATTACAATTAATGAATTCAGGAAATAGTATAATCAGGAGGCAGATACCTCATAAAAATAGTAATAATTGTAGCGAGCATGATTCATCAATGGATGCCAAAAGTATAGTGGGAATTTAAGGAAAAATCATATATTTGCAAACTCTAAAATGATCTCTCAAAACTGTTTATAAAGTGTTTATAAAGGAAGAAAATAGAAACAATGTAGAAGACCGAGTAATAAGACCATGATATGATCTGCTGCTGAATATGGCATGTCACCTATATATAATCTCACTGGGTGCTGGTGGCTCATGCCTATAAACCTAGCTACTCAGGAGGGTGACATCTGAGGATTATAGTTCAACGCTAGCCTGGGTAGGAAAGTCGGTGAGACTCTTATCTCCAGTTAGACCCAGAAAACCAAAGTTGTGCTGTGGCTTAAAATGGTAAATTGCTATCTTTGAGCAGAAGAGCTCAGGGACAGCACCCAGGCCTTGAGTTCAAGCCCATGGGCCTACAGAAAAAAGAAGACCAACAGAAAAAAAGTATGATCTCAATTTCATCACAAAAATTAATGATATTGAAATTGGGGCATATTTTATAGAGTAACTAGTGAGTTCTTTTTTTTTTTTTTCCTCAAAAATACCAGGTCATTAAAGAGAAAAGTGCCTCACAGGAAACACGTCAGTAAAGGAAACATGAGATCTGGATGTCATGAACCAGGGGGAAAGGCATTAATAGTACAACTTGGTGGTAAGATTTACCATTAATAGTTTGAGCCAATGTTAATTTTATATTTTTCATAACTTTATTGTAGTTAATAGTATTATATTAGAGGAAGCTGGTTGACAGGTGTGTGGGAAATCTGTATTTCACAAGTATTAAATGATTTAAGATAAAAATTAAGCCCTTCCAGGGGCTGGGAAGGCGACTCAGTGATAGAGTGCTTACCTTGCATGCCTGAGGCCCTGGGTTCGATTCCTCAGCACCTCACAAGCAAAAAGAAAAAAGCCGGAAGCGGCACTGTGGCTCAGGTCGTAAAGCGCTAGCCTTGAGCTGAAGAGCTGAGGGACAGTGCCCAGGCCCAGAGTTCAGGCTCCACGACCAGACCCCCCCCCCAAAAAAAAAATTAAGCCCTTCCAGAAATGTAATATCCCACTCTCACACATTTTCTTTTTTTTTTAATTTTATTTTATTTTATTTGTGAACATACTGTACAGAGGGGTTACAATTGCATGGGCAGGATAATGCGTACATTTCTT